GTTGGGGGGGAGGGGAGGGGGGTAGGAGGAGGCATGAAAACATTTCGGGTCCCCAAGGGGCGGGGTATGACAGAAAGTAATAGAGAACCACTGCCCTACACTGTGCATGCAAAACTCAGTTAAAAAGTTAGACTTTAAAAAGTAAGACATTTCTTTAAAAAGTTGAATTGTCTTCATATTAGGGTTATAGATTTATACTGACTGGCCAGGTATCCATGTCCACCACAGGCTTCCCTACATTCTTGAATCCCTCTCTGACTTGTCCATGAGCTTAGTGGTTTACTGGAGCAGGATATGGCATGGATCTCCCTTCCCATCTCTGCCTTAGCAAAAAAAAAAAAAGAAGGAAGAAAATCAGTAATGTGCATTTTTAACAACAAACACCTGTAAATTATTGACATTCAAAGCTATCAGCTATTTTGAGCCGCACTGGAGTGTATATAACTTGACTCTCTTTGTCGTTCTGGTATAGAGCCACTATATCGCAACATTATTTTGACCAACAATTTGAACACAAAAATCGAATAAATGGGTCCTCAGTTTATGACGTTCTCTACCTACAGAAATGTGGTTATATCGCCATCTAGCATAAATTTATCAAGGTAGTCATGTCGGTTCCATATTGTAGAGGTTAGCATGCCTGCCTTAGAAGCGGAGAGCAGAGAGTCCTGGGTTCGATTCCCAGAAGAACCACATGCTTGGTGCCAAATATGGGTTCAATTTATTTATTTATATTTATTGTTCCATCATTCCAATGTACAGGTTTAAGAAATATTCACACGGGAACTTTACTAGTTTGCTAGCTTGCGAGCTTAGTTTACGTTCTCCGGTTTGTACGACATATATATTGGATTGTGCTACATTCGCTTTCTTTCCTTTGTGTCGTTTCTTGTTCACTTTTGGCCCGTTCATAACGGCTAAGCAAAGTCAGTTTCGTTGATTTGATGTTTTTATGTCCCTCAATTATGATGAGTTCCAACTTGCAGCGAAAATCGAGTTACGTTGTGTCGTAAGACCGAAAGTCGAGGAGCCTCTGACTTCACAAATTTGACCAGCTGCTACTCCAAAAAATTTTTTTTCCCTTATGCTTCTAACATACTTGTCTGTCACTGTTGTCTCTCATCATCTGTCCAATCTGAAACTCAGCAAAATTTAGGAAGAAGGTCTTGGAGAAGTGTTCAAGTGCGTATGCAGCTGCCAAGTACGGGATGAGACGCCATTGCTGAAAAACAAACCATAGTGAATCTCAATATTTTAGACACAGTTCAAAATTATTTTTTTTACAAACACGCTTGATGTAAGAATAATAATGGCGTATAAACTCTTAGATAAGATAATGCATTATTATGTTTGATGTATTAGATACTGTATTAGATACTAGATACATACTAGATGACATTGTGATCTGTAGTGAGAGTAGGCAGCAGCTAGAAGAGAACCTAGAGAGGTGGAGGTTTGCACTAAAAAGAAGAGGAATGAAGGTCAGTCGCAGCAAGACAGAGTACATGTGTGTAAACGAAAGGCAGAACAGTGAAATAGTGAGGTTACAAGGAGCAGAGGTGGTGAAGGTGCAGGAGTTTAGGTACTTAGGATCAACTGTTCAGAGCAGCGGAGATTGTGGAAGAGAGGTGAAGAATAGAGTACAGGCAGGATGGAACAGCTGGAGAAAAGTGTCAGGAGTGATCTGTGACAGAAGAGTGTCAGCTAAGGTGAAGGGAAAGGTTTACAGGACAGTGGTGAGACCAGCCATGATGTATGGTTTAGAGACAGTAGCAATAGGCAGAAGACAGGAGGAGGAGCTGGAGGTGGCAGAGTTAAAGATGCTAAGATTCTCTTTAGGAGTGACAAGAATGGACAGGGTCAGGAATGAGGTCATTAGAGGGACAACACAGACAGGAAGGTTTGGAGAAAAAGCTAGAGAAGCCAGATTGAGATGGTTTGGACATGTGCAGAGGAGGGACAGTGGATACATTGGTAGAAGAATGTTAGAGATGGAGCTACCAGGTAGGAGAAAGAGAGGAAGGCCAAAGAGGAGATATATGGATGCAGTGAGGGAGGACATGCAGGTAGTTGGAGTCAGAGTAGAAGATACAGAGAACAGGGAGAGATGGAAATCAATGATTTGCTGTGGCAACCCCTGAAAAAGGGACAAAGCCGAAAGAAAAAGAAGAATTTAGACAGTACATATATCTTAGATTTCCCAAACGTACGTACTGTACATGTTTTTTATGTATTACCCTGTATGTATTTATGTGTTGCAAAATGCCTTTTCTTTTATTTAAATACTATTTTCCCTTGTAGGCTAGAAAAATGAAAATATTGGAAATTAAAACATTTTTAATGTTTAGAGATTGGATTAAAAAATCCACGATGTACTGAGGGAGCAAAAGTAGAACCGCGATACAGAGAGGGACCTAGTTTTTCATGACATAGAGACCTGCATCTGATATTCCAAGACAGGAATCTCCTCAGAGTCCTTGGGTCCAAACTGTCTTCTAGTTGCCGAAAAACGGATTGCCACAACCAGAGCCAGCTTTAGATTGGCCAAAGCGGTCAGTGTAATGCCAACCCTGCCGCCTGACAGCGCACCAAGAGATGCTCCGAAACGCTTGTTGGGGTCCTGGATGGGAGGACACAAACATTTAAATATATATATATATATATAATATAATTTGTTCATTATTCACCAGCGCAAGCACAAAAACATGTAGAACAAATGGTAAGGTAAGGTTTTAATCTGTGGCGGCTGTGATGTGGAGGATCAGTCAATGTTGTTTTCGCTCCTTAGGCTTTTCTGTTTCTGTATCGGTCAGGGCAGATCCAATACATCTGTCCACACCAAAGGTTTTGGAAGGATACCGATACTGTATGTGGTCCAATTTGACAAAAATTTGAAATTTGAACGGCAAAGGTCAAGGTGGCGCTTTGGCCCCGAGGCAATGTCTCTGTCATTGGTGTAGAACCCCAGGGTTCACCTCCTGGGCAAGTTCGAATCCCAGGTTTAGGGGGGTTGGTACGGTGCAGTGTGATTTGGGTGGCGACTGCTGCCCCCGCGACCCGGTAATGGATAAGCGGATGAAAATGGATGGATGGATGACTGTGGTCAACTTTTAAGCCAAATTTAAAAAAAAAACTGTTAGAAATATTAAAGAATTGCAATAAGTTTTGTTCTAGCTCAGGGGCCAAACTTTTTCAAATTATATAATTGGTTTGTATTGTGATTATGCTTCTGCCTTTTCCCTGCAATGCCCACGTTTTCTCTATAGATGGCGTAGAGAAGCATAAAGACATTTTTAGCAATTTCCCATTTATGCATGACTTGTACATGTCATTTATCTTAGTTCACATGAATGCTTGATGTATCTGCTCCCGACATCACATTCATCTTATCACTCCTTAAAAAAATGTGAACAAAAACGTAAAGCGTATATCAGCTTAGAAATCCACTAACCTTGAACGGTGTAATGTATTGGCCATCCGGTGTAACGTCACCTGTTTTATTGAGTAGGTTTTCCCTTGGGATCCTTACGTTGTTGAATGTAACAAACCTGAGGGGAAATAGAAATATAGAAAAGTGGGAGGAACACAAAGCGCAACATGTTTTATTCCAGTTTTTATTTGAGTCCTTTCCAGTCCTTCCACTCACTGCCACTCCTTTTTTTGTTGACCATCTTGTAGTTTTTTAAATCTGAACAACACGATCTTTGGTACCATTTTCTCTAACCCGCACATTATTCGACAGCTCTTTCTCATTGGTTGTCCCGCAATTTGATCGGCTGGATATTATCGCGTCAAAACAACGTGGGTCTAATTTGATTGGATGTTGTGCCGACAGCACGTACACAATGAGAGATACAGAGCGCTCCGCAATAACTTACTTTATAATCTTTGGGTTTTGGGGAAAGTATCGAGTCTTGTCGAGTCAAAGGGCTCGAGTCCAAGTGAAGTCACGAGTCGTTGATGTTAAAGTCCAAGTCGAGTTCCAAGTCTCTTTACATTTGGTCAGGTCGAGTCTAAAGTCATCAAATTGATGACTGGAGTCTGACTCGAGTCCAAGTCATGAGACTTGAGTCCACACCTCTGAACGTTTCTCAAGAAGACGTTTCTCCTCTCATCCAAGAGGCTTCTTCACTTCTAACTGGTGGTGGGGAGTACAGTAAATATATACATAATGTATATCAGTATATATATATTTATATTTATGGTTCTCCCCACCACCAGTTCACCAGTTATCCAGGAATTTTCATCCTTCCGATACAGATAACGATAAAAGCAACACGTGGTGCGGCGCAAATAATATATATGTATATACATATATATATGTATATATGTGTATATATGTATATATGTGTATATATATATGTATATGTATATATGTGTATGTATATATGTATATATATGTGTATATATGTGTATATATGTATATATATGTATATATATGTATGTATATATGTATATATATATATATACATATATATATATGTGTATGTATGTATGTA